TGAAACAGGCTCCAGGCTCTGAGCCATCAGCATAGAGCCTGATGCAGGGCTTGAACTCATGAACTGTGAGATCATGACTTCAGCTGAAGTCTGATGGTTAACAGACTGAACCATCCAGGCTCCCCACCAAGCTTTTACATTTTTAAAGAGATGTTTATAAAGGGTTGGGGTAGAAGAGAGGGGGAAGAGAAGAAGATATGAGACACTGTGTGTGGGATGCAAAGACTAAAGTATTTACTATCTGGCCATTTACTGAGAAAGTTTTCTGACCTCTGCTCTAGTTCATTCAAGAAGCAACAGGATATAAATAATGACAACTAACAGTTACTTACTGCTAGACACTGTTCTAAACACTTTATAGAAATTATATTATTTAATCTTCCCAACCATCCTATGAGGCAGAACTATTAACCTCAATTTTACTGATGAGGCAACTAAGGCACAGGGAAATGAGATAACATGCCACATGACTAGAGTTAGTGGCAGAGATAAAATCTGAAGCCTGAGCCTTTGCTCCTAACCGTTTTGCTAGAAACTAACTCTGATCTGAACATTACCTGAGTGACTGAAGGATGGCATTCATGAAACATGTGTTCCCCAAATTCCGAAGGCCTGTGGCACAAATGCCAGTGGTGCTTCCCTGTAAAATGGGATAAGAAAAGGCCATCAGCAATACCAAGAGAAGGCTGTGTCAGACATCAAAGCAAAGGCCTATATTTGAAACTCTAGCATCAAACCAATTTGGAATTGGTCCTTTTTTGTCCAATGAATATTTCAAACTATCGTTCTACTCTCTAAGTATCCAGATATTTTTAAAAGCCTACTTTTGATCCTGGGATTGTTCTCAATGGAAGTACCCCGTGGAAGCTTATATGGAAATCAGCATTAATAAATACCATGGAGTACACGATATAAAAACCAGGAAGATCCTTAAATGAAATAAAGTTTTAAGACGGAATGCTTTTACAAGATTTTATTAAAACTACTACAAATTGAAAAATATAAACATATACACCTCAAATAAATCTGTCCCCAAACTTTTAACTCTAAGCCATGCATAAAAGACCAATACATGTATTCCTAGCAACAGGATATCAGTCTTTAAAACGCTACCTGAATTTCCCTTAAAGACCAAGGCTTTGTTTTCTGATTAACTCTACAAATGCACCATGACATCTAAATATTACACCTTAGAAGTGAATCTACCAATCCAACACAAAACCTCTCTGCCCATAACTCAGATGGCCAGGGAACACTTTAAGCTCTTTATCACACAAAATCATAACACTTCAATTAAGTGCATGTCTAAACATAACTAGCATGACAGCAGAGAGGCAGGTGTAGGGCAAAATTACTGATGTATTTATAAGTATTTAGCGACCGTTAAATTTTTTTAATTTATTCATGGCTCATACATCTGGTAACAGATGGTTACCAAAATGAGGAAGGATATTCTTTCATGATAGACTTTTATTAATGAAGTCCTAAGAAACAAAACTTACCAAAACCTCAGACCCATAGAATTTGCACTTAGGACCTTTAACAGAAGGAAGCAAAGAACTTTGGGATCTTCAGGAACAGAGTAATAAGATACATGACTAGGCTTTCAGAATGAACACTTGCTAAGGGAGAGGAACACAGTAGTAATCCTGATGGAAGGAAGGCACTGACAGATGGACTCACTGGGGTATTCAGTCACATCAAGAATCATTAGTACAAGTGGCAAACATTTCGCAAAATATTCCAAATCCAAGGCATACATTTATGAAAGTTCATAAGGACCAACATTAGTGTTAGAGATGTAACAAAAACAGCGACTAGGTCTAAACCAATTCCTACATTTGCATAAATTTTAATTACTTACATTTACTTTTAATAACTTGGTGTTTAGTGATGAATTTTCCAAAAGTTTTCTTTTCCTATGCCTGTCAGCCGTGAAAGCGGAGCTATTAAAACAAAAACAGATAGTAAAAAAGACATTGACGCACACATACTACACAGCCTGTACTTCTGCCTCTAATCCTAGACAGGGCTTCTGTTGCTCTATTCAGATTACAAGAAGGGAGGAAGCCCTTGAAATGAGAGGGGCCAAAGAGTACTTAAACTCTAAGTATTTTAACTAGTTGAGATTTTAAAGAAATCAATTCTTCCCTTATCAGCTTTATAATCTATTTAGTCAGTAAGACATGCATAAAGACTTCAGTTAATAAAAACTATACCATGTTTTACTCAAAGACCTCAGGCTATTTTCTCTCATTATATGATTTAAAAATATTGTATTGCCTTTACATTTAAGTTTCCTAAGGGACACCTAGTTTTGGTATGTTCATACAACAGCTTTTAATATCAACTGCCAAAATAAAATAAATGGTACCTGATGACTAGGGGTGATTTGTACAAATTTCACTAGTATCAGCAGCCATTCCAGAGCCATTTCTATTCGTACAGCTTCAAAGCCATCACTGTTTAGATTTCTATTTATTGCTTCAATTTTGGATTCAGGGAGTTTTATCTGAATAACAACCTATCTTGCTAGAGCTAAAAAATTCTATTCACATAAGTACTGTAATTTCTTTATGATGGCAAAGCATTTCACAAGTTACTGTAATTTCAAGTGACACAGCCCCTCACAAAAGAGGAAAAGAAGAGGGGCGCCTGGGTGGCTCAGCTGGTTGAGCATCTGACTTCAGCTCAGGTCATGGTCTCACTGTCCGTGAGTTTGAGCCCCGCATCAGGCTCTGTGCTGACAGTTCAGAGCCTGGAGCTTGCTTCGTATTCTGTGTCTCCCTCTCTCTCTGTCCTTCACCTGCTCGTGCTCTGTCCCTCTCTTTGTCTCTCAAAAATAAATAAACATTAAAAAAAATTTTTAAAAAAAGAGGAAAAGAAGAAAATAAGATCTTGTGCTATCATACAGGTGCAAAGGGACAATAATATAACAAACCTAATTTCCCTTAAAAATAATGCATAAATTTTAGTGCTTCTAAGAAGACCTCATAAAACATTTGACAAGGATTTTCGAATATCAAAGGTAACTCTATAATGATTTTCTATCATTTTATGTCCTTTCCTTACACCTCCAAAATTCCCCTTGCAAATAAATTGAGTAGCTTATAAATTGATGGGTAATAACTTTTTTTTAAATTTTATTTTTTAAAATTTACATCCAAATTAGTTAGCATACAGTGCAACAATGATTTCAGGAGTAGATTCCTTGATGCCCCTTACCCATTTAGCCCATCCTCCCTCCCACAATCCCTCCAGTAACCCTGTTTGTTCTCCACATTTATGAGTCTCTTCTGTTTTGTCCCCCTCCCTGTTTTTATATTATTTTTGCTTCCCTTCCCTTATGTTCAACTGTTCTGTGTCTTAAAGTCCTCATATGAGTGAAGTCATATGATATTTGCCTTTCTCTGACTAATTTTGCTTAGCATAATACCCTCCAGTTCCATCCACGTAGTTGCAAATGGCAAGATTTCATTCTTTTTGACTGCCGAGTAATACTCCATTGTGTGTATGTATATATGTATATATGTATATATGTGTGGACATACACTGATGGGTAATAACTTAAAAAAAAGGCTCATGGACTCTTGGCTATAACTTATGATAAATATTAAATGAAATAAATGCTCAGTTATGACCATTAACTATGGGCACAGTTTCAGATATCCAAAGTAAACCCAAAGTTTACTTCACTAACATTTCAATCACACTAAAAACATGATGGAAGTTATGGAACTCATTAAGAAAAATCCCACTCAAAAATTCTAAACAACCCCTCAACCCCATTCTATCTCCCTTCCTTTCCCAAAGCCTATTACTTACTTTTCCAAGTTCTGTAAGTGTTCTCTGACTTTCTGTACCAGTCCCAGCTTGGTGTCATTAACCACAAAATCATCACAGCGATAACTGCAAGAAAAATATTAATCAATGTGTGTAAAGAGCTTGAGGAAACCACAGTAATGAAATCACTAAAAGGCCTGGCTGCTGCCAAGATGATCACATGGCTCTGCAGGCAGTTACTGTCAGTGGTAAGTTTAAAGAGAACTTGGAATCCACAATGGAATGTTTTTTAAAAGCCTTTTAAAAAAAGCCATGCAGGCAATGATCACTAGCTTCTTTTCACATTTTTACTCAAATTTTACTCTTCAATTTCTCCTTCAAAAACAAAATAAGCTGCTACAGGTGTTACATTCTTTTAGTGGTGCATAATACACAGAAAATAAAAAGCACCAAGTCGATTCACATAGCCTCAAGCCTAAAGCTTTCAGGTGATATTTCCCAACTCAAAATAATGGGAATTTGCAGGGAGGAAAGATTTAAGTGAAGAATAGGGAAAAGGTAGGGATAAATTAAAAACAAAAAAACTAAACTAAAAGATATATATTTGAAACAATTTAACTAAAATAAACTGAATTCAGATGGTTGAGAAGAATCTTCATTCTGAGGTGCTAGAAAACAAAAATAAACAGCAGCTACACCTTTTAGGAAACTGATAACTGCTTTGAAGAAAGATGTTAAGGTGTTCTTTAAAACTGATACTGTGAGGGGCACCTGGGTGGCTTAACTAGTTGAACATCCAACTCTATTTCAGCTCAGGTCATGATCTCATAGTCATGAGTTCGAGCCCCACGTTGGGCTCCACACTGAGTATGGAACCTGCTTGGGATTTTCTCCTTCCCTCTCTTCTGCCCCTCCCCCACATGCACTTTCTCTCTCTCAAAAAAAAAAAAATCAACACTGTTAAAAATTAAGAAGCTGGGGCGCCTGGGTGGCGCAGTCAGTTAAGCGTCCGACTTCAGCCAGGTCACGATCTCGCGGTCCGTGAGTTCGAGCCCCGCGTCGGGCTCTGGGCTGATGGCTCAGAGCCTGGAGCCTGTTTCCGATTCTGTGTCTCCCTCTCTCTCTGCCCCTCCCCCGTTCATGCTCTGTCTCTCTCTGTCCCAAAAATAAATAAACGTTGATAAAAATTAAGAAGCAAAACAGATATTTTGTGTGTTTTTAGCAAGTCAGTAAGCAATTACAAGGACTCATGTAATAGACATTACCTTGTACATTAGCATTCAATTTTTTTCCTGGAATAAAGTCAATTTTAACAACAACAACAAAAAACCTTACAAGCTAGTACCAATATGTTCTTTTGAATAGCAGCTTTGTATAAAACCACTATTTTAACTACCAAAGAATAATGACAATAATGCTGCCATTCTGAGCGAATTAAACTTTGAATGCATAGCAACTAGTAAAAATTAGGTCATTTCAGCAGAATCCAAAAAACATTTCTTACATGTCTGTAATCAGTCTATAAAAAAAAATGAGAAGAAAAGGGGGAGAGTAATGAAAAAAAAAAGATTACACACACAAAAGCATGGCTTGTGTCTCTTATTTACAGAAGTTAAAATTTCAAGTGATGCTTTTGAAAACTCTAAAATAATAACATATATGTAATTATTTAACACCCCTTCCCCCATTAACTGACTACCTATGCTGTCAATCATGAGTCTCTAATGTATTCTCCAAGTTTCCTAACATGTACACAAACAGCAAAAGCTACCTTTTACATCCTGGAGTGTTTTTCTATGGCCAAAGAACCAGCAAAGGCAGGAGAATAATTCTTTATCAGTTTTATGATAAAAACATACAAAGTTAAATTAGTGAAAAGGTTTAATTCCTTGCTTCTTCTCAGCATAAAGGTTAAGAGGGTTAAGGTCTACTCTATGAATCTGGGCTTAAATCACTTGGTTCCTCCATGAAGCTTAAGCATTGACTGAAGAATCAAATTGCACTGCTACATTCTTCCTTACATTTTCATTTTATGTTTACATAAATTTATGCATGTATTACAAATAAAATACTCACTATTCAGAACAAAAACAATATTAAATGCTAGTGTTCAACTGGGGAGCAACGTCTAAGAGTAAATTTAGATCACTTTTCATACATTTACCCTAAGCCATAATATCTAATAATATCTAACTGGAAACTCTAACCTCTACAAAAAAGTTGTTGTTCTGTTTAAACAAACTATGTCCAGTTAAACTAAATAACTGGGTTTTTTTTCTTATTAAAGTAATTCTTTTTGGTGTAATATGGATTTAGCCTAGAATATAAAATAACATTTGTTAAAGTAACACTTTCATATACTGAAATATAGATTTACTTATGCTTTTGCTCCATTCTAAATAAATCTGGCTTAACTGGATATAGTTGCTTCATCTCTCTGAACTTTCATCCTTAAAGTAAGTAAGGTGCTGGGTGCCTGGGTGGCTCAGTCCATTAGGCATCCGACTTCAGCTCAGGTCATGATCTCCCAGTTGGTTGAGTTCGAGCCCCGTGTCGGGTTCTATGCTGATGGCTCAGAACCTGGAGCCTTCTTCAGATTTTGTCTCCCCTTTTCTGGCCCCCCCGCCCCCGCTCGTACTGTCTCTCTCTCAAAAATAAACATTAAGGGGCGCCTGGGTGGCGCAGTCGGTTAAGCGGCCGACTTCAGCCAGGTCACGATCTCGCGGTCCGGGAGTTCGAGCCCCGCATCGGGCTCTGGGCTGATGGCTCAGAGCCTGGAGCCTGTTTCCGGTTCTGTGTCTCCCTCTCTCTCTGCCCCTCCCCCGTTCATGCTCTGTCTCTCTCTGTCCCAAAAAAATAAATAAACGTTAAAAAAAAAAAAATAAAAAAAAAATAAACATTAAAAAAAATTAAATAAGTTGCTCAAGATTCTACAGCTGTGCTGTGACTGATGCAACTGAATAATTGAATTTTAATTTTTAAAAAATTCTAACTGATACGAAATTTCACTTAACATCTAAAGTATTTTTACAAAATACTTTTCCACTAAACACAATTTTATGGTTTTGGTAAAACTATGTTTCATTTTTATTATTACATCACATGATGGGTGCATGTGTCATTTCTAGTATTACACATTAGCATATTACCAATCTGGTTTATGTCAACAGAATGGTTGAGTTCGTTATTTTTCTATGCGACAATGCAGCACTGCAATGTTTATGTGAATATTTTATACAGACAGCAGAGTTACTGTTATGTAAACAGTAATTGATAGTTAAGTTGAAATACTTATTTTAACTATAATAAAAATTTTTTTCTAGCTTAAAAATTATGAAAAAAATTTTAACTTTCACATGAAGGCACACTAATGAGGCAGTATCAAGTAGAGAAGTTATGTCACAAATTTTACAAAGGATGGCAATTACAATTTGTTACAGCAGAGCAAAATGAATGTTATATTAAAAAGGTTTCAAGATAATGGAGTAGACAATATTAAGAGTCACCTTCAGCAAATGCATATTCATTTAATAAGAAGTTGCCTCTCAACAGACAAAACTTAAAGCAGTTCATGAAATCAGAATTAAACATACAACAAAAAAATGTCTCAATGATTAGTAAAGGATCTGAGCTTATAATTTTGGCCAACTATAAAATGGCCTAGATTCTTGCTCAAGAAAGAAAACCATTTTTAGAAGAAGAGATAAAAAAAAATTAGCATTTCATTAAGGGAATTAGGATTTAAAATTTGAGGAAAAGATTAAAAAGAGATTTTACAAAATGTGAAATTTTTTTTTTTTTTCTAAAAGAGAAATAATCTTAAGCAGCCTCCACGCGTGGCACAGAACCTGATGTAGGGCTCAATTCCACAATCCTGGGATCATGACCTGAGCCAAAATCAAGAGTTGGACACTTAACCAATTGAGCCACCCAGGCACCCCCAAAATGTAAAAGATCTTAAATTGACCCACCAAGCAAGTGTCAGTGAATAAAGGACTTTTCTAACAATTAAACTCAATCAATTCAACATTTGAAAAATTGCAAGTACTTTTATTTTTAGCTTTACATGAGTTTCACAAGAGATACTGACCAATTAATACTGTGGGTATGTTTTGTCTCAAAGGACTGTAGATAGGAAAAAGTTTCTATCAAGACAGACAATGGGCCAGCTATGTGAGATCAAAAATCTGAATTTATGGGGCACCTGGGTGGCTCGGTTGGTTAAGCGTCCTTTTCTTGATCTTGGCTCAGGTCATGATCTCATGGTTCGTGGGTTTGAGCCTCGCATCAGGCTCTGCAGTGATGGTGCAGAGCCTGCTTGGGATTCTCTCTCCCCTCTCTATCTGCCCCTACCCCACTCACACTCTGTCTCTCTCAAAACAGTAAACTTAAAAAAATTTTTTTTACTATAAAAAATTTACTAAAATTCCCTTGTATTTATTCCACTGTATGATACATATTGAAAATATCTGTGTTCTGAAGGAGACTGTATCATGGATGTGGTTATTAAAATTGTTCAGTATATATGTGCAAATGCTATGAATCATCACCAATTTATGAAATCGGTTTTTAAAAAAATTTTTTAATGTTTATTTTTGAGAGAGAAAGAGACAGAGCACAAGTGGGGGAGGGGCAGAGAGAGAGGGAGACAGAATCCAAAGCAGGCTCCAGGTTCTGAGCTGTCTGCACAGAGTCGGATGCAGGCTCGAACTCATGAACTGTAAGATTATAACCTGAGCTGAAGATGGACACTCAACCAACTGAGCCACAGGCACCCCTAGAATCTACTTTTTTTAACTGCAATTTTTATAGAAGTCAAGCATTTCTAATGAAAATTTAGCATCTGAATGGAGATGTGCTGTAAGTGTAAGATATACACTGGATTTGGAAGGTTTCATGTAAAAATAAGAATACAAACGATCTCTAATTTTATGGTGATTACAAGTTGACACATTATTTGAACAAGTGGGTTACATAAAATATACAATTAAAATCAATTCACCTATTTCTTCTGCTTTAATGTGACTATTAGGAAAGTTTAAATTACATGTATGACTTGTATTATTTCTGGTGGTAGCACTGCTAATCTAAAGGGTATCTAGGATATTACCCGCTCTAATACTCTA